GCTTGTTCAGTTCAGGTGGCGGTCAGAATGCACTCTTGGGCGCAGGCCTACTTGCAGCTAGGAGTGCATGAATGCACTCGTGTGTTTCCTAGGTTTCCTCGCCTCCATCATCACCATCATCATCATCATCATCATCATCATCATCATCATCATCATCATCATCATCATCATCATCATCATCATCATCATCATCATCATCATCATCATCACCTTCATCATCACCACCATCATCATCATTACCATCATCATCATCAGCATCAGCATCATCATCATCATCATCACCTTCATCATCACCACCATCATCATCATTACCATCATCATCAGCAGCATCATCATCATCATCTTCATCATCATCATCATTAACATCAGCATCATCATCAGCATCATCATCACCATCATCATCATCATCATCATCATCATCATCATCATCATCATCATCATCGCCTTTGCCCGAGTGGCCTTCTGACGAGTCTGACTGGCCCTGGACTCCGTCTGGCATCAGCGAGCTCGGGTGTGTTTCTGACGAGTCGGACTACCTTGACACCCGAACCGTGGTGGGGAAGTGCACCATTTTACTCGCAATGACTGGGTGGCGCGTTTGCGAGTTCCCAGGTCAGTTGCATATGAATGACCGTTCAGGATGCGGTGGAGCGAGCGGCGTGGGCGGTAAGCTTGAGCCTGGGGGGCGAAGCGGCCAGCAGCGAGATGCGTGTTAAGCTTATCCATGGATCGAGAACGCTGCGCAACGTGCGCGTTTTTTCTGCGCCGATCTGTTCGACAGCCTCGATGTAGTCCATCTTCAGGCGGTGATCGTGGAGAATGACTGCTTCACTGCGGCAAGGTGGCGATCCCTTTGGCCCTTTTCGGAAGGCGCCGCCGCTGCGTCCCAAGCCGCCGCCGCCACCCCCCAAGATGGCGCCGCCGCCAAAAAAGGCGAGCCTCGCCCTACCTAGTCCCTGGCCCAATATAGCAAATCTCGGGGGGGTACATTCTCCCTTCGACGAGCAATTGTTCCTTCAGAGAGCAAGCCTCGACCATGCGCCAGTCGATGCTGCGAGGATGTCGCGGCTGGATGAGATGGGAATGGCATTGGACGACATGTCGCGGCGGCTGCAGGGGAGGAGTGCAGTGGGCGACAATGCCAACGTGCAGCTGGCAGAGGACGAAATGCCGCTTTTCGGCCCCTCCTTTCGGCCCCTTCTTGGAGACCCCGCGCCGGGCTCCCCCTGGTGGCGCAGAAGCGGCAGCAGCAGCGGCAGCGGCAGCAGCAGCAGCAGCAGCAGCAGCAGCAGCAGCAGCAGCAGCAGCAGCGGCGCCGCAGCAGCAGCAGCGCCGCCGCCGCCACACCATGGTCGCCGTCGATGGAGGTCTCAAGGCGCCGCCACCCTGCCCGCGGGGGCGCCCGAGGGTGACGCCGCCGCCGCCCGCCCAGCAGTCACATCTAGCAGCGCTCAGTGAGTGCCTACGGCGGCACGCGTATCTCCATCTTGCGAGGCGTTCAGCCAATTCGCAGAACCTGTTTAGCCACAGCCAAGCCGCAGCGAGGCGTTCGGCCAATTCGTAGAGCTTGTCCTTGCCGCAGTGTCGTGCGGCAACGGCAGCCGCCAGCATATAGTTCCAGCAGGCAGCAACAATCATGCGGCAGTACGTATTCGAAACATCAATTTCATCGCCGTCGTGCATCCCAGTCTTCGCCGTCGTCCATGATCGATCGTCCGTCATCCAAAGTCTGTCCACCGCACCTTCGTCTATCCTTTACCATCCATCGTCCTCTGTCCTCACCATCACCATCCCGCTACCGTCTCACCCAGCCCATCACCATCGTGCATATTCTATATTATCATCATCATGTGCAATATGCGTCGGCCAATTTATCCATCTCGCGATCGCAACCGTCCATCGTATCATCGTGACGAAGCCGAGCGCGAGGAAGCATAGGAACCACGTGCGTGCATTAATGTAAGATTGGGTGCGCACTACAGACATGCATGCGTGCGCGAGCAAGATCGAACGAGTCAGCTTGTACATTGAACAAGTGGCTCGTCATTTGCTGCAGCCGAAATGTACCCCCAAATCGTCAAACATACACGAAGCGTCGTCCCCTGATTTGTTTTCTCTTTGTATTATGTTTTGTGGGTGATGGTAATTTTTGAATATTCCTCCTGTGGAGGGACGCGCCCGACCTAAGCCTAACAGCGCGGAGGCTCGGCGTTGGGGGATCTCTCGGGCCGCCCTCCGATGACGCACCGTGCGACTTGGGGCCTCCGGGGTCCCAAGACCATGGGGCGATGGACCGCGAGGTCTATGATATTCCAACCGTGGGAAAAAAAACACACAACACACAAAAACCACACAACAACACACACGTGGGGAAAACACACACACACACCACACACCACACACACAACAAACACACAACATTTTTTTTCCCACAATGTTTTTTCTCCCACAGTGTGTGTTTTCCCACAGTGTTTTTTTTGTTGTTGTGTGTGTGTGTGTGTGTGTGTGTGTGTGTGTGTGTGTGTGTTTTTCCCACAGTGTGCATTTGGCCTTGATCACCAGGAAGGGTTTCGAGCGCCCCAAAAAGTACCGAAACTCGAGGGTTTTCACGTGTCGGGCCCTGGGAGACACTCGCCCGACACTTTTTCGACACTCTTTTGACACTTTTCCGGGTGATCGAAATTATTTTAGGGATGCGGGCCTTAAGCAGGACGGGAACAACATAGCGCGCGACGCGGTGTCTCGACGTCACCGCACGGTCCGTCACCACACGGTTGTGGGACTTCCAACGGGCGGCCATGGCCCCCCTCTCTTCGGGGGTGCCAGGGGATTGGCAGGGGCAGCGCTCGGGAGAAACAGGCTCAGAGGTCTGGGCTTGGAGCCTCGGGGTTCGCTTTCCAGAGGGCTTTGAGCCTCGTGGGGCGCTCTCGTGGCTACGGCTGGATCCGCGTCGAAATTCTGGTCACAACGCACCCCAGGCGAGGCCCCGGGATTTGTTTTGGACCCCTTTATCAGGGCCAGTGTTGCGAAGGGGTCCGCTCAGGGGACGACGCGCCTCGACCCCCAATCGCCCACTCATCGCTGAACCCCGCTCGGGAGCGTGCGGTTTCGCTATCGGGGTCTCTCGCCTGATGTATCGCCGGGTCCAGCTCGATGGTCCGGAGGGATCGGGGGCTCGAGGGCTGCGCCGGGAGCGACGAACATCAGGAGGCCGAGCAGATGCCCGAAGCGACCCGTGCCGAAAAAAAACTGGAACTGCGCCGCACGAGCCTTCTCGACATCGCGCCCTCGCGGACACGAGCCTAGTCGGCTTCGTGCACCGAAGCGGGGGAGTCGTCCACGGCAGCAGTGGCTTTGGCATGTGTCGTAGAAGGGTGGGGGTCTGTTCCTGTGCTCATGACAGCGGCCGACAAAACTCGAAGCAGAGGTTGACCCGGGTGGGCCCTTCCCCGCTTTGCGGGCCTGTGCGAGCACGCGAGCACGCGAGCCTGTGCGAGCACGCTTCGCGCTTTTGACGGACAAGTCCGTGCCCGTGCTCTCGTCCCCCGCCATGGTGGAGAGAGGTCCTGAGGGAGGTGATCGTCTTTTTATTCATTGTTTTGCCGATCGTCGCGGCCCCAAAAACCCCCCTCCCCCCCCATGGAGTAGATCTTGGCTGTTTTCTGGCGCCCGTCTCGAGCGGGTGGAGTCTCCCCATACTGGCCGCACTCTTGCAATTTGTCGCACTACGCAGAGGTCCGTAGCCAGACCCCCGATCTACTACAGAATCGATTTGCCCCAAAATTAACTTTCTCGACGACTCTGCGGAACAAAAACACTTAGAATTTTCTGCAGGTGCACGAAAAGTCTACGCATGCGTTGTGGATGCGATGGGGGATTCATTTTGGGGTACATCAAATGTATAGTCGATCCCCTACTCGAGTCTGGCAGGTTTTTGGCCGTCTTCGGCGAGGAACTGGCATCGGCACAATTCGGTGCACGTGCTCTTCCGGAGGCTCGCGCGGAGACCTAGGATCTGCCGCAGGCCCCCCAGGGGCGGCGCCAGAGGCTGGACTGCTTTTCGCTTCGGGTACAGTGGAGACCCATGCCGAGAAACACACTGCTTGTCTCCAGGGCGCCCTGGGTTTCTTCGGTTTCAATGGTTTTGATATGGCGTGACGTTTCCACACCCAAAAACCATGGACGTTCTGGGGTCTCAGGGTTGGGTTTCGTGTGGAAGGTTTCTTGTGGACTGGCCTCCACTGCACCTCAACGGGGCCTGGTCCTTCGTCAGTCAGGGGGAACTGTTTTTTTCGGGGGGGGATCGCCTCAGGGGGAGGCACCGACCGCAGATCGCCCACTGATTGCCGCTAGGGGCCACCGCCCAGGAGCGTGCGGATTCGCGCTGTCGGGGGCCTATCGCCGATCTATCGGCGATGCACCGATGATTCCAGGTTGATGTTTCCCCGCCTGAGCTGCTCCCCACCTAGCGTTGCCCCTCAGCTTTGGGTGTCGCCAGGGCGCCTGGGTCTTTCATTAGAGGTGCGTTTTTTTATCGACGCTTTTATCGCCATGCATCAGCGGTGGGCGATTTGCGGGGAGCTGAGGCACGACGAGGCACTTCGCTCGGGGGGACGGGGCAGGACGATTGCGAAAGGAGCGGGGATTGGTTGCCAGGAGCGGGGGGAGACTGCGGAGGGGGGAGTGTCAGAGGCAACGGGGTGAGGGATAGGCTCAGTGGGGGATGCACCCGCCCTCAAGTGCCCACTTATCGCCAATGAGGGGCCCGATGGCCCATCCCTCGCCATCGGGGCCTATCGCCGATCTGTCTGCGATGCATCGCCACTTCCAGGACGATGTTGCCCCCGAGCTTTGCCCTTTAGAGGAGGCGGAGAGGGAGGGGCGGGGTGGTGGGGGGAGGGGGGAGGGAGGGAGGGAGGAACGGCCATGCTGTCTGGCCGCTCGCTCTTGCAGCAGTTCGCTGGCCGCCGTTCCCGCAGGTGGGAGATCATGGTGCGCAGGCCCCTGCCGGTTGCCTTTCCCTTTTTGCCAGCTGCAGCTCGCAATTATCCGCCCGTCTCGGTGAGAGGAGGCATCAGCGTCACCCCAACATACTTATGCTATATGTGCGTTGCCCCCCAAGGGGCGACGCGCGCACCGAGAAATCTCATAGCGTATGCGTCGTGGTTGGCGCTTCCGCTCGGGAATCGATATACTACAATATGGGTAGACTACGTGTTCAGGTCGGACGCGCGCCTCCAAGGAGGACGTATACCTGTACTAGCATGCCTCTGTGCGTCCAAAGGCATTGCTCGTGGCTGATGTGTCAGCGCCGACGCTACCTCATCACTCCATGCTTCGTTTGTGCTTCCATCGTGCAGGGCAGTGCTCTGCCAGCCTGGCGAAGGGCGGCATGTGGGAGAAGCTGCCTGCTCCCAGCGCCTCCTCGCCTCGTGGTCGGACACCTCCATCCGTCCCTCGCTTGCTCGCTCGCTCCCCTGGTCCCTCGCCCCTCCCTCCGCCTCCTCCCGCAGCCCCTCCTCTCCACCCCCGCGGGAGGCCCCCGCAGGAGCCCCCCGCAGGAAGCTCCTCGCGGGAGGCCCCCCGCGGGAGGCCCCCGCAGGAAGCTCCGGCCTTCCCCCGCCGCTGCCCTCGAGGAGGATGCCCCCCCCCCCCCCCCCCAGCCTCTCCTGACCCCCCGCTCGAGGCAGCTGAGGTCCAGGGACGAGTTTCTCACTTCCACTTGGAGCTGTGTCTTTGAGCAGGCACGATCACGTGGCTGCACTCCTGCCCTCCCGAGCCAGCCCCGCTGGGAGTCGCGGAATCCAGCGCTCGAGCTAAACGGTGTTTCGGCGATTTCCTGGACCGTTTCCGTTTCGATTTTGTTTCGCAGCAAAGGCAGAACGAAAACATAACGAATGAGAGCGAAAACAAACGACAACGAGCAGCATTTTTTAGCTCGAGCCCTGCTCCCCTCTTTCACGCCCCCCGGCCTCCGCCCCGCGAGCGGGGGGGGTGCTCCAGGGGAGCTGGCGCCTTTGCCCAGGGATTGAAGGTCGGCGTGAAGAACACGTTCATCGACGTCGACGACGCGGAGCGATGGATGAGGAAGGATGAGGAGGAGGAGGAGGAGGAGGAGGAGGAGGAGGAGGAGGAGGAGGAGGAGGAGGAGAGGAGGAGGGAGGAGGAGGAGGAGGAGGAGGAGGAGGGGAGGAGGAGGAGGAGGAGGAGGAGGAGGAGGAGGAGGAGGAGGAGGAGGAGGAGGAGGAGGAGGAGGAGGAGGAGGAGGAGGAGGAGGAGGAGGAGGAGGAGGAGGCGGAGGCGGAGCGGAGGCGGAGGTGGAGGCGGAGGCGGAGGCGGAGGCGGAGGCGGAGGAGCAGCAGGAGGAGGAGGAGGAGGGAGGAGGAGGAGGAGGAGGAGGAGGAGGAGGAGGAGGAGGAGGAGGAGGAGGAGGAGGAGGAGGGGAGGAGGAGGAGGAGGATAGAGGAGGACAGAGGAGGACAGAAGAGGAGGAGGAGGAGAGGAGGAGGAGGAGGAGGATGGAGGAGGTGGAGGAGGAGGAGGAGGAGGAGGAGGAGGAGGAGGAGGAGGAGGGAGGAGGAGGAGGAGGAGGGAGGAGCGAGGAGGATGAGGAGGAGGAGGAGGAGGAGGAGGAGGAGGAGGAGGAGGAGGAGGAGGAGGAGGAGGAGGGAGGAGGAGGAGGAGGAGGAGGAGGAGGAGGAGGCGGAGGAGGAGGGAGGAAGGAGGAGGAGGAGGCGGAGGAGGAGGAGGAGGAGGAGGAGGAGGAGGCGCGAGCGGAGGCGGAGGCGGAGGCGGAAGAGTAGCAGGGGGAGGATAAGGAGGAGGAGGAGCAGCAGGAGGAGGAGGAGGAGGAGGAGGAGGAGGAGGAGGAAGAGGAGGAGGAGGAGGAGAAAGGTGGTCTCTCCGTCCTCCCGTCCTCCTCCTACTCCTCCCTTTTCTCCTCCCTCCTCACTTCTCCTTTTCCTCCTCTTTGCCCTCCTGGGCCTCATGAAGGCCTCACCTCCGTCGAGCGTTTGGCTCTATTCGAGATGCCTGCGGCCGGGGCTCTCGGCACGGAGGAGGCGCGCTCCACGTCTCAGACTCTGCTTTCAGGGTGGTTCGCCCCGAGGGAGCAGTTCTTGGAATATGCTGGCGCTGAAGCGGCCAACCTCGTCCGGGCGACGGCCCAAGGCGAGGCTCCGACGCGTCCGCCAGCTCCCCGTGGAGAGGAGCCAGACTCGCGCGCGTCCGGTTTCACCTGCTCGTTCCTTTCGGCGCACCCACTATTGGAGGGTTTCTCCGAAGGGCTTGGGCGACCCGTCCTCCTCCTCCCTCCTCCTCTTCCTTCCTCCTCCCTCCTCCCTCCTCTTCCTCCTCCTCCATCTCCTCCTCCATCTTTTCCATCTCCTCCCCCGCCCCCTCCCCCTCCCTCTCCCCCCCTCCCCCTCCTCCTCCTTCTCCTCCTCCTCCTCCTTCTCCTCCTCCTCCTCCTCCTCCTCCTCCTCCTCCTCCTCCTCCTCCTCCTGTGTTCAGCCCCCTGGCGCAGGCGGGGAGCGCTGGGACTCCGGGGCGACAAGCTCCCGCACCTGGGGACGGCCGCCAAAAGCGCGGTCCCCTTCTCCAGGGGTCGCTTGGCGCGCAGCTCCTCCGTTCGGGCCAGGTGTCCCTCCCTGGGCTTCCCGTCCTGGGGGTCGTGCCGGGCGGTCCGTCTTCCCCGTTGTGTCGTATCGTTTCTCCGTCGCGTCGTCGTCTTTGCCGCGGCTGTCGGGTTTGCTGAGCGTGCCCCTGGAGGTCCTCAGCAGCCCGACTGCCGCGGCTTGCGTTTTCCCCGTTCCGCTCGGCCAGCCGGGCCCGCCGGCCGCGTGTGCGGGGCGCCGTGGGGTCCCTGGGCGGCCAGTGCGCCGTCCAGGGCCCCGCGTGCGACAATGTCGTGGCCGCCCCGCAGTGTGGGGCCCTTGGCTGTGGATGTCAAAAAAATCCTCCTCCTCCTCCTCCTCCTCCTCCTCCTCCTCCTCCTCCTCCTCCTCCTCCTCGGGTCGCCTACGGCCTGGGGGAAACCGTGCACCCGCGCCGCCTCCGCCTCCGCCTCTGCCCCTGCCATCGTGGACTTCGCGCGGAGGCGCCAGAGGGCGGGGGCTCGTTTCGATTCCTCCGATTCGGTTCGATCCGATTTTGATGCCGTCCGATTCCGCTTCGATTCGGTTTCACATTCCGATGTGGGTTCTGATTTCTCCATGAGGCCTTGCTATTCTGCCGATTTCAGCCGCTGCGACTTTTCCCGACTTGGCTGCCGATGTCCGCCGATCCGGTTCATTTCGATCGACTTGTCGTTTCGACTCCGGGCTCTCCCCAACGTGCACGGGCGAGTGTGCAGCAAGGTCTGCGCCCAGGTTCGTCAAGGCTTGCTGGGAGTCAGATGGCCCAGAAGGTCCTGCAGTGAACTTAAGTCGGGCATGTCCCTCTACAGAAGGAATATTCAAAAATGACATAACCTAGTCTGGAGATGATTCTTTTAGTGTTTATTTAGTGGTCTTTCGACTGACCGAGTGGTCTTTCGCTGTGCGAAGCTGCAGGGGTGGCTGCTTTTTTCCCGTAGAAATATCAGGCTTTGCGTTCGGCATGTGAGGCTTCTTGGTGGCCGCTGGGGGAGTCTTGAACGCGTCGCGGGCCGTCTGGAAGCGTTTTGCCTACGGGGACTCTTTCGGGAGGCCTCTTGGTGGCCTTCTGGGGCCTCTTAAACGCGTCGGGTCGCTGGCACTTGCTTGCGTGCTCGGAGGGGCATTTCGGGGGCTTTCTGGGGCCGCTTGGGGGCCTCTTGGGGGCCTCCTGAGAGCCTGTTGGGGGCCTTTGGGGCCTCTTGGGGGCCTCTTGGGGACCCCTGGGGGCTTTTCAGGGCCGAGGGCTCGAAATGTTGTTTCGCGTTCCCCGCCTGGAACCTCTCTTGGCGCGTTCTTGGGGCCTTCTTGGGCCATCTTGGAGGCCTCTCGGGCCGTCTTGGAGCCCTCTTGGGCCCTCTTGGCGCGGTCTTGGGGGCCTCTTGGGCCCTCTTGGGGCGGTCTTGGGGGCCTCTTGGGCCGTTTTGGGGTGTCGGGAAGGCGGAAACGCCCAAATCCATCCAAAACCTGGGGAAAAGCAATGCTGTTTGCCTCTTGGGGCCCTCTTGAGACTGCTCTTGGAGGCCTCTTGGGCCGTCCGGGGGCCATCTTGGGCGTCTTGGAGCGATCTTGTGGCATCTCGGAGCTCTCTTGTATCATCTTGAGGGGCTCTTGGTGGCCTCTTGGCCTTTCTTGGGGCTTTCTGGACGGCCTCGAGGGCGGCGCCAAGGAGGAAAACCATCTCTGACCCGAGTCGCCCGGAACCTGCCCGTGGACTTTTCGTCCGGGGACCCCCAGGGGCCGCCCCGCCTTTCGCGAAGTAGAATTATTGCAAAGCAACCAACGGAGATCTTAGCACGCCTCGGGCCCGTTGGGCCGGCGAATTGGTTGAGTATGTTGTTGACAATTTTTGATTTCTCGCCAACAATCCGCCTGTAGGGGGACATGCCCGACCTACCAGTAAGCCGTTCAACTCTGCCATTGGCTGGGATGAACAGAAGCTGCGCCTGAGGCTGACTTCTCCGGTCCTCTCCGACGGGCCAGCGTGCTCGCCCGCGCGCGCGCGTGGCTGCCACCCATCTCAGGGCCGCTCTCTGCGTCGATGACAGCTCCTCCGGCGGCTGGTGGCGCCGGAGGCGTTTCCTCGTAATGCTCTCTATGGTGCATGAGGTGTTTCGAGAAAGTCCATGCTTTCGGCGAAGGGCGGGACCCAGACATGCTGATACTACGTGTGCGTTAGCCCAACTGGGGCGCAGCGCGCGCTTCGAAACCTTGTAGTGCAAGCGCCGCGGCGGGCGCTTTCTGACCATGTCGCGTGGGCATCGATATGCCATGCTGACGTTGCGCTGCGTCCCCGGGTTGGGCCTGCGCTTCCAACCGAGACACGGAGGCTCTACGTGGCGGCGCCCCCGCAGGCACGCAGAGGG